CCCGCCGCGGGCTCCGAGCGCGATCGGCAACAATGTTTACGTTCCGGGGATTATGACGTCGACGCCTCCCCCCCCACCCCACAACTGCTGAAAATGGTTTCCTAGGACTTTGCAAACGGAGCTGCCCAAGTGTTGGTGCAAAACTTTGTAGATCTCGGCTGTCTGGCTTGCTTTATTTATTTTCCGGTTTGTTTTCTTTGGTCTTCCCTCCTTGCCCCCTCGGCCAAAATGCTGGGGGCAGGAGTGTTGACAATTAATTGGTGAACTCTCCTAAAAAAAATGGAGGCAGAGAAAGACTCTGGAAGAAGATTGGTGTGTAGCTTTTTTTTTTTTCCCCCCCAAATCTGTATCTGGTATATGATAGATCTTTTTTTTTGTTTTTGGTTTCCTGCTGCCTTTTCTTTCCTTTTCTGTATTTTGCAAGAGGACCGGAAAAAATATAATAAATTGCATGCAAAAGGAAGCAAGCAGCTTACTCCTCCAGTCCCTTGTGAGGCTCAGAGCCTCAGACACTTAAGTGGGGAGGTGGTGGCGGGGAAAGGCTTGGAGGGGGGGCTTAGCGGGCTCGGGGTTCGCCGGGGATCTGGGGGGCTGCGGGGCCGGGCGCTGGGCGGTGGAGGGAGGAGGCAGGGGGATGCGAGGAGTGGCGGGGGAGTCTCCTTAGGAAGTGAGTGTGCGCGCGCGCTGGTGGGGCGATGAGGCAGCTGCTGGTGCGTTTGGGGGTCTCCGATGGGAGCTTTGTGGCGGGCTGGCTGCCTCTCCCCCTCTCAAGCCCCGAGCCCCCCCCCACCTCCTCTTCTTGCACTGGCGGGCGGTCGGCGGGGGCGGCTGGGGGCTCAGCCCTTCCACCGCCGCTTCGCTGCTTCCCTGGCAGCTCCCAGGCGGCTCAAGCCTCAGAAATGCCGCCGGACCTGGGTTCCGGCTGCCCGGCTCTGCCGCCACCGCCGCCGGGGCTCTATGACCGCCAAGCCTGGCGCTGCAGCTGCGCCTCCGGGGCCTACGTCTGCCCCGTCAGCCCGCGCCGGAGCCCCCTGCCCGAGTTACATAACCGCGCTGCGGGCTAGTGGGCACAGCTCCACACAACTCGGGGGTGGGGGTGGGGGCAAGGGAGAGCCCCTCAGATGTCCCTTTCATTGCCTCCACATTCGCAGGAGGGGGTGCTCCATGTAGGGTGCAGCAAGATCTGGGGGTGCGGGCCCGTCTCCTCATCCTGATTTTCAGCATCTTTGGCAGGGGCGCAAAGTTGCTCGGGGCGCAAAGGTGGGGTGAAGGGAGCTTGCTTCTCCTGCACCTGTTCGTGCCAGGCCCAGGGTGAGGGGCGACCCCCATGCTCCCCATAACGTCCCGGGCTCTCTGGTTTGCGTACCCGCAGCGCCCGATCGACCGCCAGAGATACGACGAGAACGAGGACTTGTCGGACGTGGAGGAGATCGTCAGCGTCCGGGGCTTCAGCCTGGAGGAGAAGCTGCGCAGCCAGCTGTACCAGGGGGACTTCGTGCACGCCATGGAGGGCAAAGGTGAGGCGCCCCCTCCGTGCCGCCCTCCGCGCCGCGGGCCGCGCGCACGTGGGGAGGGAGCTGCCGGTGGCTGGGTTCGTATTTCGCGCCCGCGTCCCCCATTCCAGGGGATCCGGTGACGAAACGAGGCTGAGCACTGGGGGGTGGGGTGAGGTGGGGTGGCGAGGGAGGAGGGCAGGCGGGAACGCGGCCAGGCGTGGGCCTAGGCCTGGCGCGTGCCCACCACCATCCCCAGGGTGGGCAGAGCTGGGGGGCCACGGACGGAGGGGTTTGGGAATGGACAGACGGACTGATGGACCGAGGGAGGGCAGGAGCGCTGCGTCCTTCCCCTCCCCAAGCCAGCAGCGCACCCTGCTCCCTGAGCTCCGCGCCTGACTGGAGCGGGGCTTGGGAAGCCCTCAGGGTATCGGGGTGAAGTACCCCCCCGAGGACTGAAGCCTCCAGAACCCTGTGCTTTCGAGGGCCCTGCCAGTTAGGAACCTGAGGTGCCCGAGTTACTGGTTGACGCCCCCAGCCAGGCCTGGGGCCTGCAGCGCTGCTTCCTCTTGTGAGTTCTGCTAGGTTAGAGCAGGGCTGGGCCAGGTCGAGTTTTTGGGGTGACGCCCCCACTTACGCCTGAGGCCTGTAGACCTGCGGCTTTGACAGTTGGAAGCAGGACTAGGAGTAATGGGGTGACATCTTCCTCAGACTTAAGGCTGTGAGGCCATCTCCCTTGGCAGTTGGAAGTGAAGATTTGGGGCACTTCTTGGTGAGACGGGATCTCTTCCCAGGCCTGAGACCTTGAAAGCTCCTTCTTCTTGTAGACCCTGCGAGCTTTAGAGCAGAAGTTGTGGGAGTCTCTGGGGTTTTGGGGTGCCACCCCAGCCTGAGGCCTTCAGGGCCTGAGTTTCTTCTTGCCCCTGGCAGTGAGAGAGCAGCTAGGGGCGGCCTCCGGACTTTGCGGGTAACACTCTAGTTTGGGTCTGAGGCCTCCAGAGGCCAGGCCCGCCCCAACCTGGGCCCAGAGTGCCCTCCACCCCACCCCTAGTGCAGGCTAGTCTGTGGGGTTGTATTTTGGAGATGTCCTTGCCTACTTAGGCATCTTTATATACCCTTCTAGGGTTTGTGGGTTGGTTTTTTCCTTCAGATATTTGCGTTTCCTTTAAATAACCTCGTTTGCATTTTGTTTACTCCCCTTCTTGGAAAACACTTCCATCCCTCCTTGAGCTGATAACCTGGGAAGCGCCTCCTTCCTCAGGGTTCCGGTTGAGCAGCTGGGGCTGTGAGGTTATCCCCCAGAAGCCACCATCCGGCTTTGCATTTTTGAAGTTTCTCTTTTGTGCCCATGGCCTCCTGGGGTGCTGGGCTCCGATGGCGGGGGTAGTTGTGGGGGAGGGAAGAAGATATTTCTTCCAGCCTGTGGATTCTGCCGACAGGCTAGGAGGCTAGTCCGAGCCCCATTTAAATTTCCTTACGGATCTTAATTCCTCTCCCTCCCCCCCATTTTACTGAGTTGTTTGGCAAATCCTATGGGAAAACAATATGCAAACTCTTCCTAGCCATTTGTGAGGAATTCTTATCCCAGGGCCTCAGAGTCTTTTCTCAGGCTCCTGTGAGGAATTGGAAGCTGGCCTGAAGCCTCTGACCCCAGGGGGTGGGCTTTGGGTGTGTGGATACGGTAGAATATTCCAGAAAGGAAGTTCTAAAGTGTATCCTCCTTAAATCTGCTGTCCAGGATCCTTTCAAAGGAGAGGGCCTTAGAGTTTTGCTAGTTAATTCAGATCTGGCCTCAAAACTCGAGGGAGGAGCTAAGAAAAAGAATCCCTTAGTCTGGATTCAAAATAGACGCGTCTTAAACTTCTTTTGCTTTAAATCCTTAGGAATCCCCCATTCACTGAGCGCCCCTGGGATTCTGAGCTGCTGAGGTCAGGGCTTTCCCCAGCTCTGGGTTTTGTTTGCTCCCTCTCTTCTGAGCCCAGTTGCCCCTGGCCTCCTCCTCCTCCCCCTAGACTGCCCTGGTGAACTATTTCCCTGGGGCAGGAGCTTCAGTGGCCCAAGGCCTTTTCCATCTCTCTGACAGGCCAGGGAGCGCTAGTGTCTTCCTGGGCTGGTTTAGTTTGGTTTTTGGGGACTTGAGGCTTTATCTCCGCCTCACTCAGCTCTGTATTCAGGAGTATGGCCGGGTTTTGGAACTAGGCGAGGAAAGAAATTAGTTTAAGGTTTTTTTCACTCTCTAGGGTTGTGGGTAAGGAGTTTGGGGTCTATACTAGAGAGAATACGACCCTGTGAGTTTTCTTCAGGCCTTACGGTGGAGGTGGATGCCCCCGTTGCTACCTCTCACCTGGGGAGCATCCCTCTCACTTAAGTAGTTGAAGCAAGTATTGTGATGGCCGCAGCAGAATTTCCCTATTACAGACAGCAGCACTGTGCCCAGTTCCCTGTGATTTTGGCACCAAATACACAGTTTCCAGGGAAACCAGTCCTCTTCCCCTCCCCTTCACTATGCAGGATATTACAATAAGATTTTCTCTGATAGTACGATGGGTGTCCTCCTCCCAACCTCTTCACTGGGGCTTCAGATCCTCCCAAGTGGAGGTCTTCCATTCTGCAGTCCCTACACCTCCTGAGCTCAGCTTGGAGTGAGTTCTCTGCCCCTCAATAACCGTGGCCTTTCTGTGTGGGGTTCTTTCATGAGCCTCCTGACCCAAGCCTTGGGCTGCTCATTGACAAGTTCTGACCGGTGGGGTGCTGGGGAGTGAATGAGTGGGCAGAGGAGCTGAGAGCTGGCCTGGCTGTGCTGGGGCATCACCTCATTCGTTTTCCTATTGTTTTCTGGGGAGTGTTTGCTGTTGAGTTGGTCCTTTATCAAGCGTGAAACCTGTCCCTTCGCCATCACTTTTCTTGCCCTAATCAACCGATTATGGTTTATTACCTGCTTCCTGACTTAACCAACTTATTTTAATTCAAACATCCAAACAGATTTCAACTATGAGTACGTGCAGAGAGAGGCTCTCAGAGTCCCCCTGATATTCCGAGAAAAGGATGGACTGGGAATTAAGTAAGTTGATGAAACCAATTGTTTGTTTCCGTCTCTCCCTCGCTGACAGAGTTTATAGCTTTTTTCCATCTCCCATCAAAAAGAAGGATCTTCATTATCTGGGATTAGCATCTCTTTGCTTAAGTTCTGTCTGAAGCACCTGGGCTTGCCATGAGTCGGCACCGACTTGATGGCCACTGGTTTGTTTTTTTTTGTTTGTTTGTTTCTGACAAAAGGAAAAAATTACTCAAGGATTGGCCTTTTTCTGACAATTTAGGCAGACAGACCTAGGGTGCTTACTCAAGCAATGTTTTTTTCTTTTTCCCCCGTCCACTGCCAGGTACATGCAGGGCCTTCCTAAAGAGAATCGAACCAAATCAGGAAACTGAGGCAGCGCCTGAGCTGTGAAGAGATTGGGCATCCCCTAAGCCCTGAGGCAGGGCACCTAGATACCCTTCTCTGCATAGACGCCCACCCTGTGGTTTGAAACCAGTCTCTTTCTACCGAGGGCGTGTTCCCTGGGGTTTCCACCCTTCTCCCCTTTCTGTGCCTGCCCCAGCAGCGGCTTGGTTCTCCAGCCTCCTGTTTACATTCTCCCACACTGAGGCAGCTTCTGTCAGAGCCCCAGGTTGGAGGGAGAGCAGGAGGCAGGCTGGAAGAACAGGTTTCTACCCTTGAGCAGGGGGCAGGGGAGGAGGCTGAGGGTGTCATCCCAGACTGCTTTTCTTCTGAGCATCTATCCAGCGAGCATCAACTGCCAGATTGCTTTAGGCACTCATTCCTGTGGGTAGACATTAAACTCTGCATCATTGTTGCCTAATAATGAATGAAACCTCGATCGTCATAAACCAGTTGCCTTTAAGTCGATTCCAACTCATGGTGACCCCATGGGTGTCAAAGTAGAACTGTGTGCACCATGGGGTCTTCAGTGGCTGATTTTTCGGAAGTAGATCACCAGGCCTTTCTTCCAAGGCACCTTTGTGTGGATTTGAACCTTCAACCTTTCAGTTAATCATTTGCCCCACCCAGAGGACTCCACAGTCATTCTAACCAATGTTAACAAATGCCTGGAATTGGTATGATGTGTGTCTTTTTTGTCCCTCTGAACTTAAAGGGGTTCCCTGTACCCTCTTTACAACTCCTATGGGGAGTATTTTTTAGAGGGTGAGAGACAAGGAGAAGGCTACCCACCTTAACAGAGCAGGTATTTGCTGAATTGTCTGCCCTCCCCTTGACCCCATGTTTTGGTCTTCTCTGGAGAGGTAGGTGGGCAGTGGGTGTCCCAGCCTCTTCTGCAGCAGTGTTGGGGTCCAGGTATGGAGAAGACAGAGGGGGTTTAGTTTGCTTCGGGTGGAGAAGGGGCTCAGTGGTTCTGGGGTGGCCCTCCCTTGAGGCACTAACTGTTTTACTGTCGTTCCTCAGGGTTATCTCATTTGGGTTTCCAAAGGGGAAGCAAAGGAACCCTCTTGGAAAAATTGCCTCCCTCTGCCCCAGGGTAGCGTTTAGCTCTAGGGTTTCTGGCTTCTCACCAAACGCCTTGCCTCATCTTCCTTCAGGATGCCTGACCCTGACTTCACAGTCCGAGACGTCAAACTCCTCGTGGGTGAGTGCCTTAACGCCGTGTATAGATGCTGAAGTGGGGAGGAGGAGGAGGAAGGGGGAAGACGCCTCTACCACCTGTCTGTTTAGACTTTTAACTGCCTCTGAGAAGAAACAGCCTCACAGGAGGAGGAGGGAGAGGGGGAGCAGGTGTTAGCTGCAACCGTCTCATTCCGGACGCCAGGTCAGATTGCAGAGTCACACCAAGCCATGTTAGAGGGCGTTTGCCTGCACAGTTTTATGAGGTCGATTTGGACCCTGGCCTCCAGCTTGGGTATCAGCAAAGCAATCTTCAGACTCTCCTTGGCGTTGGTTTGTGGGTTGCCGGGTAAACGTTGAGTGCTTTGTGACCCCTAAAAGACTTTCAGGTTCTGGAGGGGAGGGGGGAGGGATCATTCCTCCTGTGTCCCCAGTGTTACCCACAGGCCTGGGGTAGGGCTTCACTGATAGCTCAGGAAAAAAATACCAAAAACCCATGGCTGTCAAGTGCATTCTGACCCACGGCCACCCCACGCGTGTCACAGCAGAACTTCGCTATGTAGCATTTTCTTTTTATCTGCAGTCGGCCATTTTTTTTTTATTTTCTATTTTTTCCCATACAAAAATTTATACATACGTTGTTATGTGACTGTAATTGCTCTCCACATACTATGACAGCACACTTCTTCTTTCCTGCCCGGATTCCCCCCGTGCATTCAACCAGCTCCCACCCCTCTCTGCCTTCCCATCTCACCTCCAGACAGAAGCTGCCTGTTTGGTCTTTTGTATCTACTTGAGCTAAGAGGCATGCTCCTCACGAGTATCACTTTATGTCCCACAGTCCAGTCGAATCCCTGTCTGAAGAGTTGGCCTCGGAAATTGTTTTAGTTCTGGG